ACGGTCATCGGCTTCTCCCGCCGTGTCCGCCGATTAAATTCCCGGAGTCGCGCGGATTGCGATCTGCCTCGCGACTATGCGTCTATTCGCTCTCTCTCTCTCTCTCCCTCTCTCGGTGTTTTTGTTTACCTACGCTAAAAGCAGCTTTTGGCTTGACTCCAACTTGGCTTCGAGACTTTTCGTTGCATAATATCAGTCGGAGATTATTCAACTTGTGAGTAACAGAGATCATTATTCGACGCGAGGCTGTGCGATAGGGAGACGCGAGGTTTTTTTTCGTTTTTTTTTTCTTTTGCGAATGACGGAGAGAAGCCGCAGACCGCGAGTAAAAATATCATTTCAAGGACCAACTGTGCCACTCCTTCGGCGTTATTTTTTTTTACACGTTCCAACGCTGTGCTCCTGCTCGCTCGACAGTGTTATCGTGCGCGAGCTGATTCATCGCGTTCTAATCGCGTTTTCCTCTTTGTTTCTGATAGGCTTACGAGTCTAAATCGATTAATTCTGTCTGTTCGAAGGTGCGTATTACCGAAGAACTTACGCGTTAAGCGAAGGTTATTTATTCGTACGACCCCTTCATTTAGAAATTACGCGAACAAAAAAATTGCATAATTTCGAAAAAAAAAAGAAATGAGAAAGGATTGTTTGAGACATGCTTGTTACGCGCTCGAGTGGCTTCTTTCGCGCGTTTACAATGAGCGCGGAGCGCTGCGTATGCTTTGAAATTCAATGGACGCGACACTTTTTTTCTCCTGTCGTTCGCCCAGGTTATGCAAAAGTTTTCGATTGTTCGAGACAGGTGGGCTGGCCGACCGCTTGCTCCATTGTGCGATGTCTCTGCTGCTTGCAGAAATTAATTTCTTCGTAATTAACGCTCCTTTTCCGCCACAACTGAAAGAAAAAGAAAACGTCGGGGAGAATGGCAAATAACGAATAGAAAGTCGCAATCTTCTTTAATATTCGGAATAAGAACGGTCGGATTGGATTTGATTCCTTTGCCCTATTATAATCAGTCGTCGAATTTGAGTCTGGTGATTACAATCTCTGGTCGCAAATTATTTGTATTATACGAAGAAGCGGATGATTACATTGTCCATTTCTATTCGAGAAGAAACAAAAAATAAATTAAAGTTTAGTATGTGTCAATGAGCGAAGAAAGAAAAAAGTAGATCTATAACAAAGGTTGTTCATGAAAGTGCGTGACTCACGATGGTAATATAATTGAAGCGCACGCATCCGATGGAAATCTTAAACGGCGCTCGATTAAAAGCCCATATTTATTGACTACCCGTCGTGCGCACGCGACCAATCCTCGCTTATTACTCATAATTTTCGCCTAGAGAGAAATTTAATGAAATCTCAGGGATTATTTTTTTTTTCCAGCGCGATTTCTTTTTTCTACAGCCCTTCATGGACATTAATGAGTCGCTCGTTAGTCACGCTCTCCCCCTACTCGTCGGAAATGAGAAAATGCAGATTTACGGCGTGTCGTGTATAAATCGTAGTCGTAGCGTGCATGTTGCTGTGCTTTTTTAAGAGAGCAAGAGAGATCTTGATATCTGGCAAGTGCAGACGATCGGAGCAATTAGGGCGATTGCTTGTGGCGTTTTCACAATTTCCTTGAAAGCTTGCTGCTGCCCAAGACGTTTTCTTCTTCTCCCTCGAGGAGCAACAGTGTAGTTGCCTTCGAGACTGGCGTTTGTCGTACTAACGGCCTGCGATTTCGACGGATCCGACATTGAAATAGAGATGTCATGCCCTTCGCTAAACTTTTAATGTTTTTTTTTAATAAGATTAACGACTGTCTAGACCGATGTCGATAAATTAGCTTATTTTGTTTTAATGGGATATCGGCGCAGAGCTGAAAAGGAAACGAAGGTAAATCTCAAGTATTGATATTTTCTAATTGAATAAAAAGTCTTTGCGGAAATAAAAATTAATTTTTATTTGAAAGGTACGTTGAAATGTTTCCTAATTCGTATGTCACAAAAACCAATCGCGACCGTGCACTGCCAGCTTTGTCGAAAGAGCTTTCTCATAAAAAATGTATCGACAAATCAGTCGCGATAAGATTTCCAACGCGTCGAGGCACGGTACAAAGAGAGAGAGAGAGAGAGAGAGAGAGAGAGAGAGAGAGAGAGAGAGAGAGAGAGAGAGAGAGAAGGTTCGCGAACAAAGAAGAAGCCTACCGAAAGGGGAAGGAAATCCAAGGGATGCGCGTCGTCGCATTCGTAAAAGGGGGGCAAGTTATAGCGCAAACGCGGATACGCGTTCGATGAGGTTTTAGCTCGCACCTTACAGCACCCCTCTCAGAGTGCCATTAGCGTCTTTTTCTTCCTTTCTGTCCTGGCGCGTGATTTATAACGCGACTTGAAATTCAGGCCTTTGTGACAAAAACGTAACTCTGCGCGCAACGAGTAAATAACAGCGACGACGACGGTCCAGGCTAATCTCAGACCGAGGGTACACACACAAAGCGGGAGAGCGGCGTCGAAATTAAAAGCTGCCTCGGCGAACAGTAGGTAATGAGCCTCGCGAGCAAACACGCACAAGACGTTTCTTTTTTTGCTTAACTTTTGTTATTACTGCTGCTAAGAGGGATGGAGGCTTTAATCAACTGACCGTGGTGGGCTCGAGGAAGAAACAATCTCTAGCGCAGCAATCCGAAAATCCGACTACGGATAAAAGCCTTTTCACTTTGAGAGACTGAGAGGCAGATAAGAGCTTCTTTCTTCCTCGTCCCTTCGCAGCGATCAGCCGAGCGTCTTCTAATCGGGACACCCTTTTTCGCTTTTTCCTCCTAGCTCCCTTCCAGATACCGGAGTTGGCAGTTGGCTTGGGATACCTTTTCTTCCCTTTGCTCGGCATTTTTAATTTTAATATCGTAAATGGCCCTATTAGCGCAAATTCAGCTAGTTTTAGCTTCAAAATTAGATGGAAATCGGTTTGATCATTTTTAAACGCGCCAATTTCGCTGTGACGAAATTCATTCCACTTCTGGGCGTTCAGCTTAATGTGTGAAATTGAATTAAACCCGTTTATACGCTCAATTTGAAGTGGTACACACGCACTTGAGCATCTTCAACATTTTACCTTGCACATTCGCTAAGACCGAAAATCTTTGCGGTACGCTGTACTTCTTTAAATAGTACGCGTCCCAAGCTTCGAATCCCAATAATTGGTCTTCCGAGATAAAAACAAAAACTTACTTTCGCTTTCATCCTTGCAAAATAAGTCGAAAAAGTGACGACTACGGTTTATCAATAACTTGGCATCTATATTCTCTGAACGATCAGTCGTTCCACCGGCAGTAAGCGAGCTTATAGATTTCCAATGGAAAATAGTGCATTACAGTGAGACGCAACTTGGAAGTTTGCGCTCACTTGGCCGTGAGGCTATAAAGTCAGTAGTATCGCGGTCTTGAGCGATTCAGAAAACTTTCTTTTTTTTCTCTTCTTTTCCCTATATACAATCATTGTCGATCGTTCCGCAGGACGAATTTGTTGCACTTTTATGCTTCTTCTCTCTCCCCTCTAGCAGCAAACCGCATCTTCCAGTTTACGACGCGCTCGACCCTTTTTCCCATTCCCGAGGTAGCAGCAGCGTCGTAAAGCCTCGCTCGATCGTTCAATGGAATTTGATTCGGCAGCTGTACCATATGCGCTAACCTATCTGCCTTACTCTATATATATCTGCCTATCGGAAAAATTTTACCTGCGCTCTTTATGTTTCGTTTTTCTTTCTATTTTCATATAAGAATTATGGAATTCCAAACATCCTAGCCGCTTCATCGCTTACAATATATAAATAATACTAGTCTGAGTATTCGCAAAATTTATACGCCATTATGATTTGAACGTGAGATGAGTGACCTTTCCTATATCCGCATGATGAAATGAATAAGAGGAAAGTTTAAAAGTTACGGCTATTGCTCGTATCCTCGGGGCCTCTTGTGCGTTTCATAATTTTTCATAAAAGTTGGCTTTTCCTGGTTTTCTTCATAATGCGAGGAAAAACGTATTTCAAAAGAGCCCACGCAGGAAAAAATTATTCTGTCGCTTTGCGACTTTCACCGATAGTACACGGATATGTCGTCGTAAATCTTGAAAGTCGATAGCCAATTTTCACCATATTCCGTTCTCGAATCCAATCAGTTGATCAACGATAACGACCAACACTGCCGAGTCAATTTCCCTTCGAAGCCAAAGAAATAAAAAAAAAAAAGGGAAAACCCTTTTGGCAGCGAGTTTAAGCTCACCGAGCACGCGCCGGCTGTTTACCCGGGGGTCCGGGCGCGTCAGATTTCGCATGCAAAGCCAGCGGCAGCTGCGTAACAAAAACTCAGCGTCGTCGTCACCGTCGTCGTAGTCGCCTCTACGTTTTTCGCGCTTTCCTTCCGTTCCTTTGTCTGGCTCCCCCACGGACTCTTCCGCTCTTATTGCAGCCTCGAGCTGTTTAATTTCGGCTCGTATAATATTTTTCTCTCTCTCTCTCTCTCTCTCGCGCGCTTTTTTTCGTCGTCGTAAAAAAATGCAGCGCGTATGCGCACACTGAAACGCTACAGTGGCGCGATATTAAATTGGCAGGTGAAAGCGTAGGCGGCTGACTATATTTATGAGAGTTGTAAACGTCCAACGATGATATTCTCTCTCGCTCGACGTATTAACGAGCACAAGCCGTTATGTGCGTCGGTGTCGCTTTTGTTGACATCCAGTCTTGTACACGCGCCCATGGCTATATTATGCAAGTAGAGAATCGCATATACGACGGACGAGGCGTTATTAGCTATACGGACAAATTCCAATGGGCAAATGCATAGCTCGAGTGTCGCACAACGCGCCACTTATCGTCACGAGCGATCGTCCGAAAAGTACAAGTCGTTGTTTGCGCGACAGTGCGGCACCTCCACATGGACGGTAGAGCGCAACGCGATATTGCGGCACGTGTGCGTTTATCGGCGGAGAGTAAACGTTTTGGGTATTTTGCCCGGTTCGTTGCAGATGGAGGACGAGGGCAATCACGGCAACGACGACACCAGATGCTTCATCCTGTCGACCCTGGCGGCACTTCATTGGTCAAGGGTTTCGTGCGTCCTCTGCCGTGCCACAATGCTAGTCTTCGACCGATATCCCCTCGTCGATGGCACGTTCTTCCTCTCGCCTAGGCAACACTCGACTGCTTGCGCCGAGGTGAATTTTCAGTTACCACTAAAAAGAAACAAGTAAACAAATAATAAACGTGCACGCGGAAGGATAAACGTACTCGTGTTTGTCTGTCTACTGGCAGGTAAAAGTGGAGGGCCGCACGCAGTTCTTGTCGGCCGTTTGCATGTGTTGCCTGGAGGGTAGTGGTAATAATGGGATTGGTGCCCCGGTGCGCTGCCGCTCCTGCACTCAGCTCTGGGACGGCTCGAGTCTCGTACTTGGCACCATGTACAGCTACGATATCTTCGCCGCTATGCCCTGCTGCGCCGAGCGTCTCACCGTGAGTATCTTCATACATATTTGCATGTGTTTCGTCGTTTGCTGCGTACACTCTTCTGTTTTCGTTGCTGTTGTCTCTAGAGTGATTGATGTGCAGCGCGCAAAACGATTCGCTCTCGGCGTAGTTTATTTATTTTCCCGGGGGTGCTTTAAATTCGTGCATTCTCGGCGCTTATCCATAGCAAATAAGCTTATTTTCTTGTAATTCTTGTGTTTTCACGCTGGAATTGAGAGTTCATCATGATATAAAATACGTGCGATCATACTCGGCGAGTCGTGCCGATGATAAAGAGGGTTTTACAAAGAAAAATTATCGATGTGTAAATATATAAAAACAATAAATAATAATAATAACAATAAACGAGATCAAACGAGAGTCAATTGGCATGGTTTTTTTGTTTGCTTGCAATGTCAACAGTGCAACAGCTGCCACAAGCCACTGATCTATCCGCACCAGCGGCTGAACTTCTACTCGGACTACAGCCGGGTGTTCGCGTGTCCACACTGTCGAGCGGTGGACGCACATTTCGTCAAGCCACTATCCTCCTGCTTTACTCGCGAACACTTCCAGCTCTACAGTCCTTGGCCCTAACAACTAGGCAAGTTGACTGCTATTGCCAATGGCAACAGCAGCAGCAGCAACAGTAGCAGCAGCAATAGTAGCACTGTCACCACTTCGGCGGCGGCCACACCAGCGAACTTTTCTTCCAGCCCCTTGATGGTTCTACTCCGTGCGAGTCTACGCTAAGAACGCGAAGTTTTCACGACGGCCCTTCTGTGAAGAGAACGAGAGAGTGTGTGTGTGCGCGCGCGCGCGTGTGTGTGTGTGTGTGTGTGAGAGAGAGAGAGAGAGGAGAGTGAGAGAGAGAAAGAAAAAGATGCGAATGAGAATGAGAGTGAATTGTTCAAGCTCCTCGCTAAGTATTGAAAATTGTTATTCAAAAAGCAAAAAAGCTCTCGTTTCTTCTGATTTTTTTCTCGCCGAACTCTAGATAGCCAATTTAATTAGACGTTTAGTTGACGACGCGCTACTATATACCACAACATTATTGTTATGTTATGTATGCTTTGGATTTCTTTTCTTCTCTTATATAACTCGTGGAAAGAAATGAAAATCGAAACGATGTACATGTAATATTCGATTAGAATGCGGAATTGCCTCTTTGGCGAAGAAGAAGGAAAAAAAATTAATTGTTTTTTTTTCTTTCAATTAGTCTGATTTTCTACGTATCTTTCATTTGATTTGATTCTTCGAGGCGAGGAGCTGCGTAAGGTCGTATGCCGCGTACCTGGCAAACGTGTGCATGCGTTGCGTGTGAGTGTAATGCGAGTGACGAAGAAAGAAACGAAAGAAGAAAAAGCAAATCTACCTTGAAGTTTTTAGGATGAAGAAAAAACTAATGAAGAGTACTATTGTTTGTTACTTAGATAATCGATGAACGTTGTTTTTTTTACATTTTATTAGTTTATACGTTTAGGCGGCCATGTTGTTTTGTTTAAGGATCTGCAAACCCGCGTGCGATTGAACTAAGTTTTCATACACACACGTTGACGATTTTTGCCATTTCATTTTGATTATCCGTCCCGATCGCGCTCGACTCTTCCTTTTCACTCTGGTGAGCGTTTCACGCGAATATAATCCCCCCTTCGAAGAAGTAAACCAAAATACAAAATGGAGAGCTATGCGCGCACGAGAAAGTACAAAAGACGCGCTGTGAAACTCGAGCAGGTAGAAAGAGAGGAGTCGAACGCGAGTCATAGCGCTGGGGCGTGGATAAAGCAAAAATACCTGAGGCAAGCAAATTTTAAAAAGAGAAGATGAAAGAAAAAAAGTAAGAATCTAGAAGTAAAGGAACAAAAAAATGAAAAAAACAAAAAAAGCAAATAAAAGAAAACCATTAATATCTCTGTTGGCGATGCTGGTCGTTGCTGTCCAACCAATAGCGACCGTCCCACTAGCACCAAGACCACACCACCACTCGATCGTCGTGGTTCGTGTCGAGTACCTTCTTATGTTACTTCGCTATATTCGCTTTTACCTTTCTGTGAGTGCGAGTGTATCGTGTATAAACATACACACACGGTGCGTGCTGCGAACGTCTCTGCCGAGGGTTTGTTTAACAGACAAAAAACAATATCGCCTTTTTTTCTCCGCGAGCGCAGACACGCGAGGAAGCGAGCCTTTTTTCAATTGCTCTACAGTGCATTTCAATGACGAACTTTAGAGAGTGCGCAGTTTGCGAGAGCTGTTCATATTCTCAGAGTGCCAAACGCGCGATCTTCCGCAAATTTTCCTCCAGGCCGATTTTTCCGCCTCGGAAATTCGTTGGAAGGAAAAGTTGTGGCTTCGTTTTTTTTGAAAATACACCACGGTAATGTTCTTTATTTCCGCTCCAAACGAATACACCACGGAAGATCACTACAGTCGAAGAGATTTTCACGTGGATACCAATTAGTAAATAAATACAGCAAATGACAAGAAAGACAAAGCAGCGGTGTTACAAGTGTTGGTGAAAGAACAGGGACTCCGGTCAGAATGAAAGCGAAGTGAAGCAAACTGCAATGAGCACTCTCGAGTTTGATCAGGCGGAAGGGTAAAGCTATATAAAACGATACTTTGATCTAGAAAACGGGCTAAGTGAGTAAGAGATAGGGAGAAAGAAGGCAAGGAAATGAAGAAAGAAATAAGTCGCGTTAATGGGTTTATGTCGATGGGGAGGGCGAGAGAAAAGAGAACAGTTAAGTTAAGAATGAAAGCAATTTTAAGGATCTAAGCGTATATAAGAGACGTATAAGTGTGTTAAGGTTTTTGCGCGAGCGCGACTCGATATATCTGGTATATAGGGTCGAATCCAGCTCGAGTTTCCTTCTTTTTTATGTCTTAAAGTATATAAGAGAAGTAACGGTAAGTCTCCGATTTTCTATTTCAAGTGTATTTAAAAACATAAAAAAAATACGAAAAAATACGAAGTGTTTCGATCGATGTGCTGTAATAAGGTTTTTTCTTGCATAAGTAGATAGGTTATAACCACTTTTTTAATTCCAACGAATAAAAATTTATTGTGTAATGGTTTTTTACGAAAGTCTCGTCTGCGTGCGCCACGTAGGCGGGATAGGACTATTATATAGAAATTTTGTATTGATGTTTTTTCGAGAGATTTATATGGCTATGCATGAAGAAAACAAGACGAGGCGGCGAGTGATCGGTACGTATGTCTCATCGCGGACGTGCAGTTGTGACTTTCATGCCTTTTCGTGAAATGGAAATTGGTCCGACAATCGAAAGAGTTGTTTTCTGCCGTCGTGAGAAACTCGATGGTCGTCCTTACCGATTGCTCGCCCAACTTTTCGCGCTGCGATGCTTTACGATCAGATCGCGCGCGGAGGCTCACAGAAAACAAAGATATATATATATATATATATGTATATATATATATATATATGTATGCCGTGCAGCTTGATCTTTCGAATATATTCTAGAGATGCGGAGGTTGGATAAGGATTGTGGATAAGAGTTTTTCGTGGTTGAACTATATGGATATAGTTTAGAATAGAATGGTTCTTTTTATCATTGAAAACTTACGGATACGGAGGGAAAGCTCAATAGTAAAATACCTTGATGGCAGACAGAAAAATTGAAAGGCAGAGAAATACAAAGAAACATTTCGGCATTGCCAGCTCTCCAAAAACTAAATAAGTTAAAAGAATCTGACATAGCACGACGTTGAACGTTTGGCAAATTGGACTGTCGGTATATCGGAGCGATAAACAAGACAAAGGCTACATCCGTGTCATATATATAAAAATATATATAATAATATAATAGACAAGTTCATTTAATTCAAAATTTTTTAGTTTCTTTAAGATAAATAAAAAAAATATATCTATACATATTATATCAAATATTATATTGTAAAACTAGTGACGTGCTCAGCCGTGCGAGTACTCGGCCAACCTGACACTCAGTTAAAAAAGACCGTTTCTATTATTGTCAATGTGTAATTTAGAAGCATATATAGAATTGTATATCGATAGGCGTTAAGGTTTTTTCAGCTGTGGTAGACAACTATAGGTAAAAACACATTTGGCGAGACAAGAAGGGAGAGGCAAAGTTAAAGAGCGAAGCGCGCGCAAGCCTCTCTCTTCTGATATCTCTCTAACTTTTTCTGACGGCCGCGACGTGGCGCGTACGATTAGCGATCGAGCGAAAGAAGCGTTTTTATGTATATGCGTGCATGTTCTCTGAGAATACATTGGACGTTACGTTAGGATAGGCGCGCGCGTGCGTGCGATGCGGCGCGCATTGCAACCAGTCTCGCTTATCGTTTGTTGACTTTTCCAAGCGCCTATTATAGCGAGCCCAGGTATACGAGCAGACGGTGATATGTTCAATGTGATCGCGGCGTGAGAGACTTCCCCTCTTGATGCGCGCGTCGACGCGACGTCCAGTTAAATCTTTCTTTTTCTTTTTTTTTTACATTACGATGATGATGATGATGATGATGATGATGATGATGATGATTATAATGATATACAGAGTTGTTCGTCGAGTGTGTGAATGCGCAGAGAGTGAGTCGATAAAATACTTCTCTGTCCGCATATATTATATTTCGTATAGGTTATCGATTTTTAATAGACACACTGGTTTTTCGTTGTTTCTTAGTCAAATTGCCTGTTTTACTTATCCCCGTTATCGTATTTCTATCCAGTTACGGAGGGTTAACGGACAGCTAAACGGACACAAAAAATAATGACGAGACGAAAGATTACATAGATAATTTAATAAAGGACTTACGAGGAAATGTGGAAAGGACATAAAAACAAAATAGTAACGATAAATAATGTAGAGGCGAGTCATAATATAAATCCTCCGCTGTTTTTTCGCAATTAAGTAGGCAAAATATTATTAGGTTGAAAAAAGCAAAGGAAATGAACAAATTTTCCACCTACGCGCGGCTCTGCATCCCCCGAGTGTGGCGCGTTTGTACGATACGTATGTACATTGACCGTTGTTACATGACGTGGTTTTTTAGCAAAATTTTGTGCGCTACTGGAGAGCGATATCTCTTTTCGTTATGTTTTTACTTTATATAAATTATTATTTGCTTTTTTCTTTTCTTTCTCGAATCAGTCGATCGGCCAGAGCAACACCAACTTTACGCCTTACCTGCGCACTGTAATGCCAAGGACGCGACGTCGGTGAATCCTGCGCGTGTGTAAACTCAAGTTTCACCGATGCCGACTTCTTGTGCAAAGCGCTTCGAGGTGGCGAGTGCGCACTGAAAAATAATACACATGCATACAATTTATCAGCACACACACATACGCGCAGCGCGCGCGTACACCGGCTGTCTTTCACACTGCGGTCGAAGGAGTCGAGTTCCCAGTCGGCAATGAAGTCATTATTTTATTTTTATGCGAAGACTGGCTTGACTGACGGTGATGATGTACATATATCCGTAGATAGACAGGGGGCCTATGGCAAAGGGACAAGAGAGTTTAATTTCTCTTTTTCTTGTTTTTCACTTTGCTCCCTGCTGTCTGGATTTTCAACAATTTTTTTTTTATTTCATTCTTCACGATTCTTTTTTTTTTTCTTAATTTAGTATCTGCGTAGCGTTCGTACTTTTAGTGAATATTATCCTTACATTAACCGTTGCTGTCGATTTGCCTTCTTCATCTATTTTTTCTTGTTTTATATTTTTGATTTTTGCCACGCTCGTAACTTTAATTCTGTTTTTCACGCAAGAAAATGATAGAAAAAAATAATGCAAAAACAAAAAAATGCTATCGCACATCTTTATACCCAACCTTTTCTTTTATAGTTACTCGTAATAATATTTAACTGCAATTTTAATAAAGTGACAAACTTTAAATCAATTATTTCTTTGTGTTTTGTTTCTTATTTTCTTACCTTATTTTTTCTTTATAAGTAAGTTTTATTTGTTTTTTTACAGTCAGACAGTTTTGTTTCGCTTGTGCCAGGAAGTTTTTGACCTGGGAGCTCGACTGATTATAGTAATTTTGTTTTATCAAAATGCGTTGGCTATAAGGTACAAATGTACATAAAAAATAGGAATAAAGGGAGATATGTTATAATGCAATATTCGCGATTGACTCGCGCTTCCGCGAGTAGCTCCGTTTCAGGGATAATATTGTCTTTTAATGAAGTCGACCGAGCTGAAACAAGTACCTTGTCACGCTTAATTTGCAGAGCGATCGGCAACTTGAACCGAACTGCCAGCCGAGATTTATTCGCTGGATTGGTTATTATGATTTGAAAGAAGCACAGCTTTCACCGTGAAACGAATGGATGAGCTGACTGTAATGATTTTTGATGAAGAGCGCTCGAAGAAGAATGAGAAAAGAACTTGATCCTTTCTAAATTGAACTTGGTCTGCGTGTGACAAAGTACTAATGGGAAAAGCAGGTCGAGCGTGCTAGTCTTCTCAAGTTGTTTCGCCCCGCAGGTCGAGCCGTACAGCCGCAGGGAAACCGCGAACGAATGAAAGGAGTCAGATCCAGGACGAGCAAGCTATAAATTCGCGTGTGACTGTAAAAAAGCAAACAAGCTTCGCCCGCTTTACATACGTTATAGTTCGCAAGATAAATCACGCTATTAGAATATTTATACCTTTCATCGAAAGAACTTATCACGTACGTCGGATCTAAAAAGAGCTGTATATGCATTTAGTAGTTGCCGGCCTGAACGATATAATATATATTCTCGATATTTAAAAAAACACGGCGTAATGGTAAGCCCCAATTATAAAGATAATCTGTATATCGCAAAACGTTATTTCGGTGAGAGAGTTAAAAGATCGAGAAACTAAATAGCTCGACCGTAACGCCAATCATGTAACATACATACGTGTAACGCGGGACTCCTATTTTCGTTCTCTTTCCAACTATACAAGTATATACATATAATGCAAACGTGTGCGTGTCTTGAATGCATGTACCGCTATCGATGTTTCTCGCGCTAATCGTATAAACGCAGTACATATGTGTGTGTCCGTCGCTGTCTGTCTATATATTCGTTTTTCGTTTCTCGATGTTGGTGTTTATTATATAAATCGTAAGAGTGAAAGGTCGCGCCCACGTCTCTTCTCGACCCCTTCCCCTTTCCTTTTTCCTATTATCATTGTGCTTGTCTAGTTGTATCGTGTTTTATATCCTATATTTGCATGCGACAGTGAGCGTTCAATCGGTAAGATAATACTCGAGATACAATCCTCAAGCGCAGAGCTTTGAAGTCAAGTAACGCGGACTATAAATTCATTTTTAAAAATACTCTTTTTCGATTCGTAGAAGAACGAACATTCGTATAGTAGCTTTAATTAGTTAGTGATGAATTCGATTTGTCCGTAGGGGCATGTCAATTCGGCTGTGTTTTCATAAGCAAGATAAAAACGCGTGGGAAGCATCAATGTATTAACATGGGGGGGGGGGGGGGGACTTGAAAAAACAACTATTTGGTAAGGTTCGCGAAAAGAATAAAAAAATCGTATAATTTTCTACCCTATTTTTTTATCGATTGGTGTCGTGTTTTCTAAAAAAAAAAAAGAATTAATCCTAGTCTAGTATTTAAAGATAAAAGACTCGATTGGAAGCAACAAAATTGGACGTTGAATTCGAATGAGAAAAAAAAAATTTGATCTCGGACAAGGGGTAAAAGAAAAAGAAAAGCTCGAGTAGCAGAGCGGCAACTAAAACTTGACTCGCACTGAGAGAGTACCGTTAAGTCGCAATGTTGTTATCCATTATCCTACAGGCACACGTACGTATGTAGCTGCATTTCTCGCGTAGGCGTAGTAATCCCAGTTGATATAGGCACGTGTTGGCGTCGGAAGAAGAGGCGCGTTGATAAGGACCTATTTAAATAAAGGCTATTAGAAGTAGAAAGATAAGGGCTTTTGATTTGTTTTGGAGAGCAAACCGATCGGACGGCAGGCACGTATAAATGGCAAGCGATCCACATTAACAAACACACAATGCTGGTAGTGCGGACCAAAGGCGCGACAAAAAAAAAACATAAAAGAGAGGACCAACCAGGCATAGTAAGACAGGAAGTTGCCGAGCGATCGGTTAGTATGCGTAAGTCGAGTGAGTACAGGTGCGAGTGCGTTCGTCTGTGCATGTGTGTGCAGCGTCTGTGTGAACAATCCTTGATTGGCTACGTGGTATTCGAAAGCGATACGTTTACATTTATAAGGAGAGCGAGCGCTCGCGCGCGTCTCGTGTACGAGGGCCTCGATTTTTTTTTCATTGACAAAGCAATCGGCATCTCGCAAGATGCCCAAATCCTTGACATCCTCCCTTGTAATCCACTCACACCACCCTCCTTCTTCGCGGCAACGATAACGAATTTGCATTTTAATCGGAGTATATATCGACAAATAGAGCGCTTCTCCGCCTCCTATCAGGTGCTGAGGGCGTTTTTTCCGCGCGGAGAGTCGTAGACTGCGCGGATCCCATATATACATACATATGTAACATGTATACAAGTACGCGTTTTTTCCTTTTTTCATAAAAACGAAAAAAAAAATCAATCTCGATGTACGTCTTTTATAACCGTATAATGATTATCGATATAGGAAGAAACACGTTTTTTATATCTTAGCTCGTAACGTAAAAATAGTTGGATAGGCTATTGACAATTTTTACGCCTCGTTGTATTCCCGTGTGCGCGCAACTGATAACTTTTCACCAAAATAATGCAATTGCAATAATTAATTAAAAAGAAAAAAACGACGATCGCGCAAATCTCGTTGAGAGACAAAAAGACGTCGATTTGATCGAATCGGTAAATCGATTGTTAGTTTAAAAAGGAAAAAAATAAACAGAAATTCACAAGTAGACTGATCGTTCGATAATTGAAAAAATAAATATTTCGCATCGACAATTTTTATTAGTCGTCGAGCGAATAAAATTAAAAAATAAACAAGTAATAATAATAAACTCCTTAAAATGCTCCTTATTCACGTAACGTATTTATATTTATAATGAGTGTCTTTACTAATCAGCAGTCATTTTTACAAGAGCGGTTCGCCATGGAATGCATAAGTATAAGATGTCATATACGTGTTGTGCGCATGGTAAGAGAGAGAGAGAGACACGAAAATAAGGGCTTGGTACGCGCTTTTTTCTCCACTTTGTCGATTGATTGTCCCTCCCTTGATCAGTCCCACACCCACCCCGCTGCTGCCGCTTTACAATAAGTAGTTCGCGCTGCTTCGATAACACAAAATATCTGTAGCATATTATATAGAAAAATGTATCGAGTCGTTTCTTCACAAAAAATGCAAGCCCCCCGAGGAGGATTCGTTTGCTCAGGTTTTTTTCCCTTCTCTTTCGCAAAGAAAAAGAAAAAAAAAACACGAAGAAGCACGGTCGATCGCAAGGATACGAATAACAAGGTACCTTAATTTAATTGGCAGACGTCTCGAGTACTCTAAGCAAACGCAAACCTCTTGGAGGGCGTGCATTTTGATCGAGGCATCGGTGGACCTTTTTTGGAGGCGATGTCGTTTCGAAACCTCGCGTTCGGCTAGGTCGTGCTACCTCATTATTACAATTTTTATATCAACGAGCAATTTGTCTGCTTTTCGTATCTCCATTTGTCTACCGAACGCCAAATAAAGAATGAGAAAAAAACGGGAGAGCGCCGAGGTTTCCAAACGGGTATACGCACGAGGTGGCCGAGTGTCTTCCATTACCTCCCCCTTAAGAGTACAAATTTTAAGATAAAATAATGGAAAAAAAAGAAGAAAAAATGAAGGAAAAAAGATACTATATCGCGAAAAAAAGATAAATAAATGTAGTGACGACAAAGACGATGGAGGATAAATGTGCTGAGAAGTTGCTAATATTATTGGAAAGAAGTGAGCGAAAAGGTGAGATACAGAGAGACAGGAGATAGAGTAGTGTAATATGAGATACAATGAATAACTATTTAACGATGTTTTCTTCTCGTGTAAGAATTATTGTCATTATTATCATTATTATGATTATAATTATTATGATTATTACGATTTATTACTATTATTAATGTGAAACTGTTTTATACGAAATATAAAGTGAGATGAAAAGAAATTTACAGATTATTGAAAATATTATACGCGCATATATACCTAAACAAAAATTAGTAATAATAGTAAAAGGGCGAAGGTATTATCTCAAATTAAGAATGGCACCGCATTACAATATGAATATAAAAAGAAACAAAAAAGGAAGGTTTTGAAAAAAGTATATTATTAAACATCTATATATCTACGGTGGTTCGCGCCTAAGATTTTTTCGGGATAAACCTCATTTTGATGAATTCGTGAGTTGTTGATGCAAAAGTCGTCATTTGAAATTTTCGTCGCAAATTCATGACATGCAACTTCACATACGTTCTCTACTGCCAATTTTCGACTGATAAACTATTGTAAAGTTATAGCACTAATTCAGAGTACGTGATAGTAAGGAAAAGTTCAAAATGAAAAAAAAGTTAATTGAATAACAGATTCTAGCGACAAGTTCTACGAATTTTTGACGAGGCAGTTGGCAATCTCACGAATTTGCATAACTCGTATGCAACTAGTAACGAAACAAAACAAAGCATGTACGCTTTAGAGAACTAAGCTATGTATATATAAATATTTACGCGTAACGGAAATAGTTATATTAACGAGAACCCACTTTGATAAAAAGAATAAAAAACTTATATCAATTAAACGTTCCCAAAAAAAAAACATTTCATGTTATGCAATAAATTTTATGATAGTCGATACTGTGGCGAAAACAATAACGACAGAAGCAAGTACATGATGTAGGAAAGGAAACAAAGCCTAAATGAATTTTTTCAAATGCAACCGTGCCGTTTATCCGTGCGATCGAACGCGGAAAGTAACAAAATAGACTGCCAAACATAAGACTTCAAAGACGAAAAAAGAAAAGTCGTAATCTCGTATAATGAACATTTTTCGAAAATGGATTTATGGCAAGCAATTTTTTAAAGATTTTTGAGCAATTTTTCATAGACTGATTGAATACCACAGGCTGAATTCGAGCACAGCATCGCAAAACCATCAGACCTTAAATTAAAAGAAAAAAAACGATACGTTGTGCGGATTTGAATAATTTTGTCGTGTCAATTTGAGACTCTACTCGTCTGGCGATCGGATATAATTCATAAGTTAAGCGTAAATTCAGAATTTCCGATTTCTGCGATGTTCCATACTCGAATATTCAAGAATTGCTTGATCATTCGAGTATCCTGGTTGAGAATCGAACATCGTACGAATCGTCAATTCGATGAAAAAACAAAAATGATATTTATCTAGGCACGTAAGTCTTTATGTAACCAACGTGAAAAATTATATTTTGTACGAAAAATGTTAAATCGAAAAAAAAAAAATGTGTGTGAAACTTTTGAAGCTCTGATCGCGAGACGAGACTCCGTATGAGGCAAAACGCGTACATGGGAAATTGATCGATATTCGCGTGCACAGAAACATTGGCAATATTATCTAAATGGATGGTTTTGTTGCTCGTGCGCTTAAAGAGAAGCCGACATATATACCACATCACTAAAGTCCGATATTCCGTGTGTTGAAAACCTGATAATTTTCCCGTTCTCCATTGTTCCAGTGTAACAAAGCTCATTGGAGCTCGAAAATAATCAACTATCGAGCGAATAAAAAATAAGCGAATGGCAGCGAACAAACGAGGGTGGAGAGAAGAGGCTTGAAAGCATTGATCATGCCCATAAGACTTGTGTGTGTACGCCTAACAATTGAAAAAATAATTTTTTTTGCACTCAACAAAATATACGATAGCGTGAAGCGACAAAGAAAAAACTACGTGTATATGCGTGTAGAACGGGGAGGGGGGTGACAAAAATGACATAAGAAGAAAAAAATAAACATACAAATACAAAACATACTAATTACTTGTAACTGCTAATTCTAACGATTCGCTATGATAATTAAACTACGACTACCTACTATTCGCTATGATACCTATCGTTAGTAGCTAAGAGTTGATGTTTACAATTTGACAGTTCGTCTCGTGTAATCGTAATTGCACTTTATCTGTTTGGTTGGCTTGATGGGCGAGAGTCTAATTCGGGTTATTAGATACTACGCTGTACCTTTTGCTGGCGGGCTCAAATTATCGATAAGCACCGCGCAATGAAATGAACAAATTGAAAGATTGAAAAAATTATTCCGATTCGCATTTTAGTGAGGAAACAAATGAGAGACAAAAGGACAATTCGATTTTGTCGCTAATAGCTTATCGTTAAATTCGCCTGTCGGCGGCTTGGATGGGAAGAGAAGGAAGTTGACAACGCGCTAGTGCGGTTTCAAGTCAAGATTTCGATTGAGGTTTCGCGGAACAGAGGTTTCTTAATCTTCGCATCCACGTTTCTTTCTTTTATTCCACGACGTCGGTTCGCCGCTTCACAATTTCAACGGTTTTTTTTGGTCTCATCCATGCGGAATTACATGTTCACCTCCTCAGATGATATATGCGAACGATATAAAATTAATGGCATTTGTAGTTGCGGGCGAGCGTGTCGTCGATGGATGAAAAGAACAATGAACAAGCGACTTAACTGTAAACTTAGTTGGCTTATTATTTATCTCGTGATATAGTTTCTAATTGTAATAGTTTTTATCATTGATTTTACGCTTTTGAGTTTGTCACAGTGAGTATCAAATAGTGCGTGCGAGAGATTGAGAAAGAGTGTAAGACATAGGATCGAGCTTGATACCGCTTTTTGTATGTTTACTATTGGATAACTGACACACTCTTACATTATAGAGATATTATTAAAAAAATTACGCAAAAATAAAACTACTGTGTAATGCAGAAATATAGAAACGATGATTAAAATGATCACTGTGCTGTAATGAACAAAAATAACGAGTATGATGATTTTAAGGAAAGTATACATAATAATAAACATTTTTATAACCGCCTACGTCGTATTATGACACTGGGCCAAGTGAAATGAAAGATAAAAGTATACTGAAAGAAAAGATTGACTGCAATGTCGTTCTCTTTATTTCATACCGCAAAACTTACGGTCCCAATCCTTGAATCATCCATTACATCGATTATCGTGCTCCTGTTACATTATTATTATTATTTTCATTTTTGTTATATTATTATATTATTTTCATTCTTATTTTCGTGATTGAACGAGCAAACGCAAAAGAAGAATTTTGCACTCGAAGCGGAGAAGAGAAAGCTTGCTGATTACAAATCGACTGATTCGCTAACGAGGCCGCTGCTGTCAAGCTAGAATAGTAAGGAGTCGCGTGTCCAGCTCGCCATTACGCTGTTGAAATACTTATTTTTCGTCGTTATTTATTACAAAAATATCCAGTTAAACTTACAAGGTAGTCTTGTTTGCTCCATTTTTTAACATTTATATTAGATGCAGTCAAAAATCCTATTCAAATATTCGTAGAAACTTGACAATTATATTATATCTTATCAAGCTTGCAAAATATTTCGTAATAAGCCAAAATGTAATTTTTAACTTTTGCTCAAACTTCTGTACTATTGTAATAAATACAACATTTTTTGTTTTTTATGTGCTTGCTGTTTAACAATTTAACATTAGAATATTTTTCCTTTAACTCTTACGTCAGTCTTGGAGCTTTCGACCTTCACCGACAAAGAATTCAATTCAGCACAGTTCCACTGTTAACAATATGATAAATTGTTCTCCTTGCGTCAACTGGATGAATGGATTTCCAAGAAGGAATCAATGAAAAAGCTAAAATTTCTTCTTTGATACCAATCTAGCATAAACCTCTCCACAGAAGCATTCGATTCATCTAACTGAAAATGAAAGTTCCTGTCGTCATGGCATAAGTCATGCGATCAAATGAAATTTGAACCTTAATGGATTTTCCTTTGACGACTGAAGAAAACGCAAAAGCTCTCACTTTTTCTCTCTCTCTCCTCTTTGCCGAGAACTCAATTTTACTGAGGTTTTCAATTCTTGAAACGAAAAATTTGTTTGCCTTGACAACAGGAAAACTACACACAGTTACAGACGACATGCTACGAATATCTATCGTACGAATACAAAGTTTCTATCTAGTTTGATCGTTTTCGTATTTCCACCGGATGTGCATGACAATTATAAAATAAATCAACAAGTGCAGGTATATATTTTACTACTTTTATCACTAAGATTTTTTTTATGTATATAAAAATACCAATCTTTTAATTATCTATTACGTCAATCTTGAATGAAATCATTAACTGAAGCTTTCCTCAACTCGGTGTAATGAAGTTTTTTTCCTTATCTACATTTTACTCAATCCCATCTCAATTCATCTGTCAATAAAGACTTGACAACAATAGTTCATTCCTCTTTTTCATTCAAGGGATTTGCATTCTTCTGGCTTTGTTATGGTCAACCACTAGGTATCGGTTAATTCTTAATTGAAAAGAGCTTATTTCCCTGTTTCAAATAAAAAAAATATTAAAAAGGTGGTTCGTTAAAATTGCAATATAATCACATTTAGAGTTAAAAAAGGTATACTAGAAAGATGTAATCAAATATTTTGTTATAAAAGCAAGTCTAATCAATACGAACTGAAAAAAAAACAGACAACGGAAGCAAAGCTCGTGCGGAAGTGCATCATGTCGCGCCGCCAGATTAGCGTATCGTCGATGGTGGGCTTCCACCGCAGCTCTTCGTCATGTTGTCTCGTTGCTGTCACTCGTCTAGACATCAAAAGCTGTCGCTTTGCGTATCTGAAGCCGTCGATGCGAAACTTTTGACACTATATCGATTGTGTGGGTTGAACAGCTTTTAAACGTTTATTTTCCTGAGTAAATGTTTGAATGTAATTTTTTTAACTCATAAACACGAGTTATTTTTATTTAAAATAAAGAAACGAAAGAATCATTTTAGCCGAATTAAACTCTTGACTTAAAGCTTCAATTCCCTGCGGCTCAAATAAACCCTTATAAGTAAGACAAAAGACGAGATCCGATGCGGCCTGCGTGCAGGTCGGAATTCATCTTGAAGGTGCCTACGGGCGATTCGTGATTACATAACAGTCAGTGGGGTCAGTACGAATCGCCCTCTCCTCGAACGCGTGTCCACTGGGGAAATGCGGCGCGCTGTCTCCCCATTAATATTACGTCTGCATCGTCTCTTTTCACCGATGGACGCACAAAGAGAAGAAAGGCCAATGGTCAGCGGATCGCGTTACAGATCTTACATCGTCAATCTTTATCCTATGTTTCTTTGTTGTTTCCTGCGCCACTGACGCCGCCATCTGGACAATAAGACGATTATGGTATTATTGGCTTTCGCGATGCAATGTCAAAAATTAGTTCCATATTTGTTATTGAATTGATTTCATTCCTGGAAGGGAGCAGATTAAATAGAGATTAGAACGTGTAGTGGAGTGTTAAAAATATTAAGTTTTTCTAAAAAATTAACTCGTGCAGAAGAACAATCAGACATAATTTCTTGATGAAATTGAAGTTAACGAATTGAAGTACTGGCAGATTTGGCGGGATTTCAATAAAAATTATCACGCATTTGGATCTTATAAACTTAAATAGTGAACAAGCGTGAGCCCATCGCGTAGGTCTTGGTGTTTTTTTATATTGCCTCTCTATCGTGTGTCCATTCAGGTTCGAGAATCTAACAAATTTTATTATCATATACAATTGGAAGTTCGAATTGAACCAGTAGCGGTTCTTGCAAGTGACGGCACGGATCGACAGACATTGTCGATCGTGAACTTCTCATGGCACGCTCAGATTTAACTTCACGAGGCGCTCTCTTACTTCAAAGTTTCGGTAAAAAAATTTGTTTACTTTACGAAATCGGCATAGTCGATCTCCAACTTAATATTTAAAAAAAAAAGTCCTGAATAGCTTAGCTCACGATAAGCCAGTATTCCAAAAGAAGTTAATAAAAGGTGCATGAAGAGGAAGTGGTTTGTTCAAGTTTGCGTATAGGAACAAGAGCACTCGACAAAATAATTAAAGGAAAGCCCTGGGTAAGCTTAAAACAGCCAGATAAAAGCTTCGCTCGAAAGCACTGGTCGCTCGTTTTCTTGAAGCTTACGTTCGGAGACTGGAGAAAAAAAAGGGACGCAGGCGACGACGACGACGACGACTTAGCTCTCCCTTGGATTATCTCTCTCTTTCCGAAAAGTGTGTATAGAGAAGGGTCGTTCGCGCGCACGAGACCCGCTAATGTGCTGTATCACGCGCTCGCTCGTCTGAGCCTCTTGTTCCCGAGACAATTCGAACGAAATTGCCGCGCTGAGCGAGAAATGTAAAAAGACGCGTGATGCGTGATTCATAATAGCCAATTATTTATCCAGCCGACAGTGATTTAACATGCGCACTTTCCGCATCTTTCATCAGGTTCTCGCCAGACGAATTCATATGCGGTGGCGTCCACCCCCGGGGAGACTTGGTGCGCGAAGGATAAATATTTTTCCCGAGTTCGCTGCATAAAAAACCCTCTGGCGTCGTGCTCGTGATTATGCGCATACGCGGGTTAACTGTACGACGAACGCGAAACGAGCGTCGGTTACCGTGATCAGCGGTCGTTGCGACATTTGGGCACTCGAAGCTCTTTTTTTTTCTCTTGGTAATCTTGCAATATTTGTATGTCTCGGTACAGACGGTGAATAAAGCGTCTGGCTGGAAGGACGAAGAAAAGAAAGAATTGCAGAGCACAAAACAAGAACGACAGTCGCGGCTGTACGATAAAGAGAAATTGCGCGCGGCATGCGAGTATAAGATTCAGCATATCTGCAGGCGCTGCCAAGTTTCGTGCATGGCAGCTTGGTAAGAGACTCACGTAATCTTTCGGCCTTGAATCCTTATATACTTCTCATGCTAGCTATTTCTCATCTCTCTGTGTGTTTAATAATTCCCTCGTAAATCCAACATTCGACGCTCGACATTCTATATGAATATTTTTCAGCGCAGTAGACTGCTCTTTGAAGAATAACGGTCCGAACCATAAATAAAAGTTCCGAGGAGATTGAATACAAAGTCGGCAAGTGTAAGTACCATGTTGGAACGCGCAAGATGATCGGAAGCAATAGAAACGTATCATGTAACTTTTACAGCGAGGCCCATTTGCTGTACAAGCGCATAAATTTAAATTCTTCTTGCACAAAAAAGCTTGAGAGAGAGAGAGAGAGAGAGAGAGAGAGAGAGAGAGAGAGAGGTCGTACCGTGATTTTTCAAACGCGATCCGCTCTATTTTATTGCGTCTCGTGGCGTGTTGCTGCGGAATACAGGCGCGGATGCCGTTTTGCTTTTGCGAGGGTCGAATCTTTGGGCGGACATGGCGCGCGAGGGTCGTTTCGGCAACGAGGGTTCTTTGTTCTCCCAAGCAATTTTCCGATATATAAAAAAAACGAAAGTACTGTTAAGCCGTAACTTTCTGCTAACGGAGAAATATGACGGTCATCAAGCGATTTATTAATAAATGTGCTAATCTTCCAAGGCTACTCGTCAATTCATAAAAAAAGGAACATAATTAAAACGTGTACGCAACTAATTCGCTTGGAGTAACCTACGCTCGTCGACGTCTACATCCACATACCACTAGATCGGCACCAATAATTATCCTTTCAAATCCGCATAATCATCCATGAAGTTTGAACTTTATGCTTGGTCGCGAAGAATCCAAGTTGTAACGATGCAGCTGGACGAAGGGCTTCAAAGATAAATTCGATAGAGTTTCGCGCTACACAGACCGTCATAATCCCATTGCCAGGCTTAGAGTCCCATAGCACGGTGGCTCTGGAGTGCGCTTGATAAAAATTAAGCGACGGACATTTCCAAGTTAGCCTCACCGCAGCCGGTATTATAAGCCCGGCAAACTATTTTTATACAGAAGTTTTCGTACGCATCGCGAGAACAATTGTTTTTCTACGGACTCCGTATTTTTTGCGATCCAGTAAAAATTACGCGACCAGCGCAGATAATCTGTACGATGAAGAAACGAGCTTACAACCAAGTTGCGCACAAGAAAGAAGAGGTGGCAGCAGCCGCCAAACTCGCCGAACTGAACTATCGGCGTACAGAGAGCGCCTAATTATGCGCAGGCGGCTGGCCGCGCAATAAACGTTCGCTCGCGTAGCACGTTGTATACAGCGAAGTCGAGTACTACACGCATATTCTGCCGCGATGTTAATGACCGCAGACACTCGCGTAGGACTTGGGGCGTGAAATGCGCGAACCGTCGGTTGCATGTCGGCCCTTGAAAGCTTTTGCACTTCGTTATTTTCGTGTTTACCAGAATTAGGCGTGCCGTTGTACGTACATGCGGGATATAACTTTCTTTTTTTTTTCTCCTTCATTCGACGTCCGCCGAATGAAAGCGTATTGAATGGCCTTGTTTTTTTCGTCTCCATTGAAAAATGTTTTTTTTTTGCGTAATAAACGTTGCGTAAGGTGAAAACAGAAACATGCAAAAATATCGCATTGAACTGAAAGAAAAAACCATCAACATCGTAAATTACGGTGTTATCTAAAAGACAGTGTCCAGACGATCGCCGAGCAGCGTGTACTCTTTTAATCGTCACGCGAATCTCCCGAAAATACATTTACCGCAACGTCGCCCATTACGCAACGCCAAAAACGAACGCGGAGGAAGCTACCGAGGAGATCGGTAAAATTATGTCGTCGTAAAATTACCGCCGACGACAAACTTTCACCGTGCTCAAGTTGATACCATCTCTCTTTCGCGGTTTTTTTTTCATGCTCGCGGATGCGTCTGCTGCTGCACCTGCACCCTCTTTTAATTAACCAAATTGTCATTACCGTTATTATACCGCTTAGCCTGCCGTTTTTTTCTCTTCTCTCCGGCTCGAACTGTAAGTCCTTCGTCTGTGTTTTTGTTTTACAGCGCACTGGAATCCATTGTGTTTCTCGTCGTTTACGCTAGATATTCATGGGGGGTTTTAACGCGCGATGATTCACACACCGTTCAAATAAATCAAGTCTGTTCACAGTGCAGGAGGATGTGACAAGGCTTTTACAATTGGTCTGAATAAAGTATTTCGAATTGTTAATGATGGACCAACGCTTCGCTGTTATCTTATAATGTTTTTGTAACAATTTTTTTATTTATTAACACTATTCATAGAAATTATTTGTATATATTATTAACTGAAGAAACGCTGTAGTAAGTAAAAAAAAGCATTCATAAAAACAATGCTATTTCATTGATAAGCACACCGTGACGGCTCATCCGATCAGCGACTCAGCGAAACGGGGTAAAAAAAGGAATAAGTGCGCGGTAAGTAAGCTCATTCCCATGAAAATTGAGAGCAGCGCAGGCAGTATGAGGCTTTGGTGTCGTAGCCCTTTTGCGGATGCGCAGCTCGGCCAGACAACGGCGAGGAAGAAGATCGACGTCGTCTAGCGTGGCGTATACGGAGGATGGAGGTCACGGCTATACGCGCCGTTTATATTTCGCTTGCGCAACGGCGCCGTAGCGACCCTTAACGTTTCAGTTCGGTGTTTTTTTTTTCTTGTTTGGCTGTTTGCTTGCTCTCGCTCACCGGTCACCAGATATATCACGTGTTATCGGCGTAATCCTTACTCATCCTTGCTTCTCGAGTTATCTTGCGACGTCATTGCGGATTGTCGCAATGACCATTTTATCTTCAGCTATGAAATTATGATGTTGGGAGAAAGAGATTTTTGTTTATCTGTGGTCATGACTCAGTACGTTTCATAATGAGTGCTGCTATATGTACTTCTCTCTCTCTCTCTCTCTCCCTCTTTTTCTCTTTGTTATTATGAGTGCTGCTGCTTATCTTACACCTACATTTTAATGATCGACACAGCTGCACCACCCGGCTTTCCTTCAGTTTGATTATCAATTTGCGATCACCGATGTTAATTCTATGAATACAGTATTATCAGATGGATTTTGGACTAATTAAGTGTCAACAGCGATGATTGGCGATCAATCGATTACACTGCAACGGCAACGTAACGTAACTACGAATGATCGTATGACTTTGCACTTCCTTTTGATTGTATTTTAATGAAATATTTCCTCCACGAGTGAATGTCATTCATAAAATACGTGAACAAGTTTGCGGAAAAATTTTTTTAAAGAGCATCGATAACGGATTAAATTCTTTTCGATTATCAATTTATAAGAAATAGGCGATAAGCGATAGATAGATAACCGCAATCGCAGCCTTGCAGACATTGTCAACGCCACAACGAAAGCCAAACTGGATATTCGCTACGCGTGAAGTGGCTCGTCTCGTCATGTGGAAGTACGCGCTATTAGTTTTGTGCGGCGTTGCATTACTTTTCGATTGTACTGCAGGTCAGTGAAACGACTAGGAAAAACTCTGCCTATACATATATTTGCTGGAAGAGTGATATCATTGCGTCCTATCTTCTTACTCATGTGTATTTCCTCTGTGGATTGCTTAGGAGTTCAAACAAATCGGTGGACTATTTTGGTTTTTAGGTCGATTATTGGGTAATTACGAATCAGCCGCGCGATCGAATACCGAGGAATTACTGAAAAAAGTGCCCCGTCGAATAGTCAATGGAACCAAAGCTGTTTTAGGCCAATTTCCGCAGCAGGTAAATGGATTATATCGATATATACGCTGAATTTCAAGCGAAAGGATTTGCAAGCTGAGGATTTCAGGTCTCCCTGCGGAGGAGATACTCTCAAAGCCATTTCTGCGGTGGCAGTATATTGACGCCTGACTGGGTTCTCACCGCGGGTCACTGCATGCTCGAGTGAGTATTCCCTCTTGAAATTTCTGCCGACGAGCTGCGCTATCGGCATTCCCGATGGGGCTTTAATCTTTGGCTTTTTGTCTAATTGAATCGGCAAATCTGAAATATAGCTCCTTGCGCCGCACAGCGATTTCAATTTCAGCACAAAAATGATTTAATTTGCAGTAACCTAGGTAAAGTCATTGGTGCCTACACAATAATTGTCATTGCTGGCGAAATTGTACTGAAAAATACAAATAGAGCACGGCAATGGAGCTACGTGTCTGAACGCATCGTACATCCAGAGTTCGACATTGATACTCTTCACAACGATGTCGCTCTGTTGAGGGTCCGTATGCACGTACTCGCATGACAGCATGAATTATAATTCTTGAATTTTTTCAGGTGGAAACACCATTTGTATTTGATCCGTACGTGCGACCAGCTCCTGTAATGCGCGACAAAATGATCCCACACACAGAATGCCAAGTGGCAGGATGGGGACGTATCCAATACGTAAGTGCATTATTTTGAAATTTAACAGGTCGCGGCAATATTTAGATCGTTTTCACCTTTCTACAGGAAGGCCCCATTAGCGCTTATCTTCTATTCGTCGACGTGCCTCTCCTGCCTATTCCGCTGTGCCGAGAGCTTTTATATAATTACTCATCTATTCCACCAGGCATGTTCTGTGCTGGTTATCTCGATGGTGGTCGAGATGCTTGTCAGGTATTTCATTTTATTTAATCTTATGATATTTTAACATTATATACCCATTTTTGTTAAATATCGAGTGTTATTAAATTCATATTTCGCACTAAGGTTTGGAATTTTTGAGTTTTTAATTCTTTAGCTCAGTCTTGAAAAGGTATCGAATTTCATGTGCGGCAAAGGAGATTCTTAAAAATCAAAGGGAATGCCATATTTGTAAAGTTACAGAACACGTATGCTTGGAATTTTGCAGGGAGACTCGGGTGGTGGCATGATATGCGAGGGTTATCTGACGGGGGTAGTGTCTGGCGGTGAGGGTTGCGCGTGGCCAAGACTACCTGGTCTATACGCCGATGTCAAATATTACCTGCCTTGGATCGAGCTGTACGTCGAGCTTAACAACAATTTCACCATCCGTTCGACTCCTTTCAATGGAAGGTCATCTGCAATGCAGACGACTTCGACTTTTATGATACTCGTTTTTGTACTTGCTGAAATATTTAGTTTGTAAATAAATACTCGTAGAAGATAAAAGTGCAGGCAAAGTGTCTTTGCTTAACAAGATTCACTTTAGTTCCTGCATCAAATAAATAAAACTCAAATGTACGTAAAGAATAATGTTTTACACTATTTTTTGAGAACTTTGTAGTGAATTTTAAATAATTTATTATTGTGGAATAGAGCTGCGTATGAAAAAATATTATAATGATTTCTTCATGAAAAAATCAAATGGTCAGATGAACATTTCAGTATCTAAATGAGCCAGACGCTTTGACCTGAGCACCTACTCGATGCTTTAGTTCAAAGCTTAGCCGTTTCGCTCCCGCGCACAAGCAATATCAATAAATCGTGCTAGTCATTAGCAGCCTTTACTACACTTGGCGATACGAAATCAAACGGCGCTATCTTCTACCCCCCCCCCTTACAACTCTTAATATATCTACTCACTGTTGATATGTTGTATTTCGCTTTCTAAAAAAGTACAGCTTTATATACAGAGAGAATGTTATATAATGTGTATCTGATGGGGAAGAAAACGATTGATAGTACGGCAACTCTGAACAATGAATAAGTTGCTTCATCAATATTTTTAAATCTCTTAAGATTTCAGTTTTTAAAAATCGAACTTCGGATATTTGTTACTTTTTCTATCTTTTTAAATGATTTACGAGGACATTTGTGAAACTCTGTTTTAATTTATTTTATTTATTGTAATTGCCGTACGATTCGTTTTATCAACGTACAATAAAAATAATAATTTTTTTAAAATACAATTTTTAAAAACGGTTTCGCAAATCTCTAGAACGTGTCGATAACGATACTAATAAGATGCCTGAACTATTGACAATTTTTTTGTACCGATGTTTTCAAGTTTTCCCTGGCAGGATCCAATTACGAGCATACTGGCTGATCATATATACCATTGCCGATGAAAAATGCAAGCTCTTTCGGCCGACTCCCCAGCTGTGTCGTTACGAACGCTATTTGTTCGCTGTCTTTTTCTTCGCTCCTGATATTACTGACGATATTTTTTCAATCTGTAATTCTTAATTTTTCCTTCAACAGTGGTATACTGATATGAAATATTTGTTTCATATTACGGTGAACATTAATAATGAATTGAACGTAAAAGACCTAAAAACTTTTCTAGACTTGTTATTATACTATGATACGCCCTGAAATATTTAAATAGATCAGAAGTTCTTTTCGAATTCGATTAACTAAAGGAAATTAAGTCTGTCACAGGTAACGGAACGGAAGTGACAAAGGAAAGAAATGTAATTTGCGCATAGGCAGAAGCGCAAATTTTTGGCGCCGTGTTGGAGTGCCGTACGCCCAACGACATCGATCGACGGTGCGTCTGAGTTCAGGGGCGCGTTTAGCTTCAATCACGAGTATAGAATCGCTCTTGGCAATTACTGCGCAAGTGTATAGCACGAGTTGCTTTGTCTCAAGGCACTATGTAAAGTGATAAGCTAACCTGATTACAAGTCACTTTGGTCGTTTATTTTGCTTTTCCAAGAAAAGCTAGACCCTGCGAGAGGTGAAGAAGTTATGTAAAGATCATAATCCCTTAACGATAAATCTTTATTAATTTTATGTTACTTAAATATCACTTTATTAGATTATATGTATTTATTGAGAGCTTCAAAGAATGATAAATATTTTATGGTGATAATTATCTTACCAGCTTGGTTAATAATTAAAAATAAAGGTAACTTTCCAGGAACCAAATATTTAACTCTTGTTTAAGTAGACTCATTTCTGATTAAACGTTATAATTGATCTGATTACATTTCGTACGTATAATAAAGCACGACACGCTAAGATATTTAACAGATTAAGAAATTGATTATATAAATTTTTTTACAAAACGCTATTTTTATTCAACTAGAGTTTCATATAGCGCGCTGTGCGCGCATCTGACCATATTGGATTTATTGTATGCACCATTCCCTTCGAAAGTTGTTGTGTATATGATTAGTGTTGCGTTAAAAGAGTTCACGTAAAATTCTATTTCACCAAAAGATTTTTTGTTCATTACAAGAGAAATTAAACGGTTCCTTTTACATTTAAGAACGTTCGCCACTAAATCTGATCTACCACATAAGCTTGTTAATTAGGTAAAAAATTTTCTTTAATGTCACATTACTTTAGGTTACATGTCATCATGAGAAAAATGTCCGCTTTTTCGTACGCATCAACTATAGCCTATGCATAACAATATTTTTGTTAAATTGAAATAAATTTTTGATCACATTATTAACATTAATTGTTCATTCTTTTTTTCAACTACAAAACTATTAGTAAACACAAAACACTAGTAACACTACCAGATATCGCGTGACATCATAAAAAGTTTCATAACATTGCGACCGATTGTTTTTTAGGGAGAATATTTCTTTATTTCATATAATTATTGATAATGTTTTATGAAGAATCGAAACTTAAACATACGAATCAGATATATATTAACAATCTCAAATGCCTCATTATAAAAAAAAACTTTCACAATATCAACATGATGCTACTAGACGATAAAGTAAGCTTCTATCTAAATACTTGATTAGATAAAATCATTTCGGTCTTAACAAGAAATAAAAGACTTTTAATCTAAAATAAAAATAAAAGTTTTGTTTTCAGCGTACAAAGTTTTTAGATCAGGCGCTTAGGTCAACATACTTAACTAAACTTGCTAGGTAAAGATAAAAAAATACTTGTATTTATCTTTTATATCACTGACACTCTGATTTAAAAAGTATAAGGATTCAATGTTTCTCGATCGAATAATTATTTCATCGTCAATTGATCTTGAATCTGTAATAGGCTCTTGCCTTTGGTTTCCGGCATAATAAACAATGCGTAAGGTATCATAATAAGCACTAAACTAGCATACATCACAAATGTGTAAGCTTCACCAATCCAATCCACCAGTGGTTGATAGGTTTTTGTAGAGAGAAAAGCTGTACCCGATCCAATTAAACTGGCGATGCACGATGCTGTACATTTGATGTTAGCTGGAAACAATTCACTGAGTATGGTAGATGGTACAGTCGTGAAACCAATATAAATTGTTGCCGAGAAGAGGATCAGGGAAATCACAGGCAAGCACTGAATGTTGATTACGTCGTATTTGAGCAGCATAAAATGCGTGCTCAGCAAAAACATTGAACACACGAAACCGATGCTCGAAGCGACAAATAAAATTCTTCGTCCGAATCTGTCGATTAAAATTAATGACACCATGGTAGCGAAAACACTAGCAATCATAGAATATACTACGACTGTTGCCGGCCGTAGCATCGTAGACTTTCCACGAATGAGTATTGTTTCCATGTAGAATGCAATACTGTTCAGACCACACAACTGCGTGAAAAAGAATAAGATAATTACATGGAATAGAGCACGACGTACATATGGTTTTTTCAAATCATTCAGTTTATCACTGAAGCTCTTGATACGGGAACACGCCACGAATTTTTCAACAGCTTTTAATTCCTCGTCTACATGATTCCCGGATCTGTACCAATTGATTGATTTCTTCGCAGCTTCGCAATTGTTAGTCATCACTAAATAATAAGGTGATTCTGGTAACCACATGTAGAATAACATCAGCAGCAAACACCAGATCAAATACATTGTTGCTGAGCTACTGATTGACATATTAGACCCGCATAAGCTGGCAATAACCATACCGAGTTGTCCTCCACAAAAGCCCATTGATACCAAAGCACCTCGAATTTCAGGCATAGATATCTCACCCAAGTACAATGGAAATGTAGCAAATGCCATACCAAATCCTAGACCGCCTAAAATTCTCGCGAAATATAGCAACTCCACGATATTGGCAAAAAGCATGACCAGCCAACTGAGTGCAATCGGTAAAAGGCTAACGAGTAAAGACTTCTTACTGCCAAGGTACTCTGTCGTTACAGCGCCGACAACAGAGCCAAAGAAACGGCCAAGATTCAAAAGTGAGGCTACCCAAGAAGCTTCATTCGTACTCAGCAAGATTGGTGAATTTGGATCTGTTAATCTTGCCAATGCTGGAGATGTCCAACCAGTCATGAAAGATAGTTCAATCAGTAACAGCGTCACTAAAAGATTATTATATACTTTTGTTAGTACTGTTTTTTAGGGTAGTAATATTTTTCTGTAAACTTACAAGAGCCGTATATTTTTGTTATTATTTAGGTTCGAAATAATTAATAATTAATTATTACCTGCAAGTCCAGCAAGCCACTGAGGAAATACTATATTACCGATCCACCGTTGAAACATGATCGTACGAAATAATAACGTCGACTGATATTTCCAATGCCAAATTGAATACTTCTGACTGACTACTGAATTGTATCAAAAGCCCGTGTGTATGTGTTTGCATTACTGAATTTTTATTCTATATCTTGGAGCTCTTAATTAGGAGTGATTCTCAAAACAAACGTCGACGTACTTGGATGAGTAAGTTTGTGTAAACAAGAATTTTCCTCAAGTCATGAATTTTTGTATTCGGGAGAATGTTTGTTGCAATCAAATTTTATTAAAATATTGAAGTGCTTACTTATAAAAATTTTTAATATTTTGATAATTAATTAACTTACCTTTTAATTAAATATAAAATCTTCAACAAGGTATAATAATATTTCTGAATAAAAAAAGCACCATTTGAAAATGGTGGCTACTTTATTGATAAAAATGGTATTTTTTTCTGAAAATGAATTACAGCTCATTTTTCAAAGAAATGTACGATTTTATCGAAATAAATTGAGTGTAAATACTTTTTTGAAATACAATCTGCAAACAATGTGAACGAGATAATGGCATCACTTGATGTAATAAAACGTTGAAATACTAATCATATTTATACCCACTGCAATGATGTATTTCAGCATTTTGTAAATTAATTAAAAGGCACATTTCTGTAACCTGAGATAACTCACATAATTATCCATTGAAAAAAATTAATGATGATGGTTTTAATTATATGTAAGTATTCGCAAGTATTCGAAATAGTAATCATTTACATTTGATGAAATTGACTTACTCATTATGCACACTTATTAAGAATTTGTCGTCATAATCGTAGTCAACGTATCAAAATAAATAAATTAGAATCTGATAATACTGAAAAATATATCACATGAATAAAAGGAGAAACATCGATTCTTATTCGGAAAAATCTAAAAAGCACCTTAGAAAATGTAACAAAGGAAAGTTACATTTCATAAATTATTTCAATCTATAAAATGGATAATTTTTTATTTCCATTCAAAGATATCTTATTTATTAAAATAGATTTTTTAGATTAGCCACCATTAAATAGAAATTTATAATTTTTACTCATAACTTTTATCACTTTGAATCATGCATTATTTCGTTAATTCATCTTGAATCTGTTGTAGGCTTTTACCTTTCGTTTCTCGCATCACAAATATTGCATAAGGTATAATAATAACAGTTAAGAAGGCATATACTAAAAATGCGAAAGTTTCGCCCATGGAATCAACCATAGGTTGATAAGTCTTAGTTGATATGAATGAAAACAATCCTGCTGTGAAACTACCAATGCAAGCAACAATACATTTCACGTTCGATGGAATAATTTCACTCATTATAGTGCTAGGAATTGTAATTAGCCCCACAAAAAAAAATAACATATACAAAACCAATGATAACACAGGTAGCCACTGTAATTTTGTTACGTCAATATTCATATCAATAAGTAAAAAATGACATGCCAGCATGGTTAAAGCAATAGTCACACCAGTACTAGATAATAGTAATAAAAATTTTCGTCCATATCTGTCTATAAGGAATATAGAAATAATAGAAGATATCGCAGCACACACATTAAGGTAAATGACAAGTTCTGATGAACTGATGAAGTTGAGTTGAGCCTTTTTTAAAATAATCTCTAGATAATAGAGAATACTGTTTAAACCATTGATCTGCATAAATGCAAAAAGAGTTATTACTTGATAAGCTGCTCTTCTTGTACCAGAATTCTTGAATTCGCGCAATCTATCCCAAAAATCAATATTACTTTCAGAGGCTACAAACATTTTAACTTCATTAAATTCTTCATCCACGTTTATTCCAGATCTGTACCAAATAATTGATTTTTCAGCTGCGTTTTGATTTCCAACTTTTACAAGGTGATGCGGAGATTCAGGTAAGAAAAAAAACATAGCCATGAGAAAGACACAAATCCCAAAATAAATAAACATTGCTTCTGTTACATCAAGGTAAGTGCTAACAATGCTTCCTAATAATTGGCCAACAGACATACCAAAATTCGCGAAAGACACTAAAGATCCTCTTATGTTAGGTATAGCTATTTCTCCAAGATACAATGGATATGAACTGACTGCTATACCTACACCAATTCCAGTTGAAACTCTTGCAATATACAGAATATTTATATCGGTTGCCAAAGCTATTCCAAACCAACCAAGAGCTATCGGTATGATTGACCAAAACACTGTACGTTTCGTTCCTAAATAAACTGTTGCGATTGAACCGCATAATGCTCCGAAAATACGTCCAACGTTTATCAAAGATGCAAACCAAGAGGCTTCGTACGTATAAAATTCTATAGATGAATCAGACGCCATAAGTTTCATCATTGTTGGAGACATGGAACCTCCCATAATACCAAATTGTAACATTATTAAGAAAACTAAAACATATACATTACATCTATTATTTCATTTACTTTATAAGAAAATAGTAAAAATATGGAATATTTAGTTATAATAAAAATAATTACCTCCTAGGCTAGCTAACCACTGAGGGAAGGCAAAAGTTTTTATAGATTTCAGCATCTTGACAGGATCAGGTTTCAAAGTTAACTGAACTTTGTAAAATCAAAATGCTTCTAAAAAATTTGTAGATACTATCTTCTTGTGCATTACTGATAAGATAAAGCTTCATTCAATATTATTCGTATTGCATTAATATGAAACGAAAATTAGGAGACTATTGAAAGAATATTGTGAAAAAGAATCATGAAATTAAATTAAATAATTTTATAAATTGTTTTTCGATTTCAAGTCATTTTATGACTTACAGGCAAGATTTATTTTTTACTAACAAATAATATACTAAAAATACGTAAGATTCGCTCATCGCATTAATCATAGGTCGGTAATTTTGGATGATGAGAAAATTCCCGCTGTAAAACTATAAAACCAATACAAGCGACGACACATTTGGCACTAGATAGAAGGTTTCACTTAGAATAGTACTGGGAACTTGAAGCATACCCACAAAAAAGAATAATATGTAAAATATCATTGATAACAAAAGTAGCCACTGTAGTTTCGTTACCTCAATATTCAATCAAAGAATGGTTCGCCATCATGGTTAAACCAATAATTACACCATATAATTTACCAATAAGTACGAGATAATAACAATAACAATTGTTTATCGCAAATGTCTATGAGAGAAACAGATGATGGCTACTGCTTATTTTCGAAAAGCTAATGAGATTAAATTGAGTTTTCTATAAAATAATCTGTAGGCAAATTATATTTTACAGTATTATTACTGTTCAAGCCATGATCTTCATAAATATGAAAAGAATCATTACTTGATATGTTGCTCTTCTTGTAACAAGATTTTTGAATTTACGCAATCTGTCTATAAAAGTAATTAATTAGTATTATTATTGATTGATTATTCTCAAATGATACAAACTTGCCGATAGCATTAAATTTCTCATCTACTTCTTTCCTAGGTAACAATATGAATATTTCTATGTAAAAAAGACAAATTCCGAGATAAATAAGACGAGGCAAGTGTTTACTATATTGCCTAATAATTGACCAAGAGGTATATTAATAATAGCAAAAGACACTATGGATTCTCTTATTTTCGGAATCTCATCTAAACATATTTTTACCAAGATATAGTAGAAATAAACTAAACGCTATACCTATACAAATTCTACTGGATACCTTTGAAGTATACAGGATTTTAAGATTATTTGTTTCAGTTATGCTGAGCTAACAAAGGGTTGTTGGTATAAAAGTAATGAAAATTGTGCATTTTGTCCTAACACAAGTTGCTACGATTGAGTCAATTAATATGTCAAAAAAAACCTTCCACGTTGAACAAAGATGAAAATCATAAAGCTTTATTTGTGTTTAAATGAATAGGTGAATCCGTGGCCATGGATTTAGTCATTATAAGCGAAATAGTCTCTCATAAAACTTAATTGTATCTTTATTAAAAAGTACTAAAAATTTAAATTTATATTTCTTATTTGATCAGTTCTACAATATTTTCCCAATAAATATTTAATTAGTTTAATTGTATAAAATTACATCCTATTGCAGAAATTGTGGAAAATTAATATCTTTGGTTGCATCATTTTACTTGTGTCTTCCTTATAAATGCTATGAAAATGTAAATCGCTATTTAACGATTCTTAATTACAATCGCTTCTCACGACAATGATAAGATAAGACTTATATTTGAGAATCCATGAATATTGAAAAAAATAAAGTTACGAACAACAACAGGTTTCTTACGACAGAACTCTTAACAAAAATTCTCTCTTTATATTAGATAATAATTGTTTGGATAATAATTATTAATTTTTTTAAATATATAATTTTTATAAAAAAATACAATAATAACCACCGGACTGAGCTGGGTTAAAAGAGATTTAAGACATTTATTATACTGTTTATCGTACAGATTTTAGGAAAAACTTTAATATTTAACAAAAAAAATATGTTCCAAATATAATATTGCTATGTTCAATGTACATCGATCAACGGAAAGCGCCTGTAGAATTGTTGGAAAATAAAGACACGCTTTATTTTTATTATATTTGAAGCATTTTAATGGTATTTGTGAACTTCGTTGTATCTAACCTTCATTTTAAATTATATTAGTTATAAATTGTTATAATTTTGAAATATTGGTTTACACAGAAGTAAAAAAGTACTGTTTTTACCACTGTTTCATAATTTATGCCATTTAATTATTTTCTTCAAAACTTACACTGTTCAATGTTATCTTTAAATTATCATTATTTTTTACCACGTACGAATTCATCTTGTATTTGTTGTAGAGTTTTACCTTTCGTTTCTAACATTACAAATAGTGTATAAGGTATAACAAATACAGCCAAAACAGCGTAAATCAAAAAAATATAACTATCACCCATTAAAATAACCAAAGGTTGATAAGATTTTGTTGATAAAAATGAAGTAATTCCTGCAGTAAAACTACTAATACAAGCCGCGATGCTTTTAACATTTGATGGAATAGTTTCACTCAAAATTGTACTCGGAACCGGCATCAAACCAATAAAAAAGAATATCATATATAGTAACATGGATGTTATAGGTAGCCATTGTGAATTCGTCACATTGACGTTATTACCTATCAGAAAAAAGTGACTTGCCATCATTATCATTGAAATAGTTATTCCACTACTGGATAATAATAACAAAAATTTCCTGCCATATTTATCGATCAGAAAAATGGAAACGGTCGTTGCTATTGCTGCACAAAGATTAATATAGATAACAACATCAGCTGGACTGACGATTGTGCATTTAGCTTTTTTCAAAATACTTTCCATGTAAAACATAACGCTATTTACGCCGGTTATTTGCATAAATACAAAAAGAATGATCACTTGAGAAATAGCTTTTCTAATTTCAGGTTTTTTTAATTCACTTAACCTATCAATAAATTTTATACTACTTTCAGACGATACTAACTTTTCAACTGTATCGAGTTCTTCCTGAACACCATTTCCACATCTGTACCAACTGATGGATTTTTCAGCAGACACTCGATCACCAACTTTGAGGAAATAGTGAGGAGATTCTGGTAAAAAAAGGAATATTATTGCCAGAACAATACACAATCCTAGGTAAATAGCTGACGATGCCATGAGAGTTAAGTAGCTACTTGCGACACTGCCTAACATTTGTCCAATTGGTGTACCAAGAATGGCAAAAGATACCACAGCTCCTCTTATCTGAGGCATGGCTACCTCGCCAAGGTAAAGTGGAAATGTACTAAACACCATTCCCACGCCAATTCCACTTGATATCCGTCCAACGTATAAAATTGCTACTTTATTAGCAAATGCGATGCACAACCATCCTATTGCTATTGGTATGGAAGTTACGAAAATTGAACGTTTGGTTCCGAAATAGACCGTAGCTATTGATCCGATAAGTGCACCAGCAAGCCGACCTATGTTTATAAGAGATGCTACCCAGGAAGCTTCGTCAGCGTCAAGAAATATAGGTGAATCTTCAGCTGTAAGCTTTGCTAACAGTGGTGAGACCATACCTCCTATAATACCTTGTTGTATCATAAGTAGTGTCACTGAAAAATCAACATTTCACAAATATAGTTAACAAATAGTTGCGAATACCAGTTTGAATTTGATAAAAGTAAGATTTGAGATAATATTAAACGAAACATATAGTAACATCTGAGTAAATATTTAAAGAATTATTTCCATTAAACTTGAGATTATATTAGTTTTGTAAATTACCTCCAAATCCGGTAATCCATTGGGAATAAATAATGTCCATAGAGACATTGAATATCATGATGATTTTAAAATCAAGTTATTATATCAATCACACAGACAGATTACTGTAAATTATTGTAAAATCGTTGATAAATCTATGAGGCCCTCAGTTGCTTCAAGTTAAATGACAGCTGTCCGAATAGTAAGATGTTTAATGAATATTACCAGTTTGAAATAACAGAACTTGTGTCCAATCTAGAATTAAGTCTGATGACACAATGTAAATAACGCGAGCGAAGTCATTAACAGAAGTGCCATTACTGTGCATTTTCAAAATATTGTTATAATATTATCATATCAATGAATACCTTGTATAGTTAAAAGTGTGATTGTCTGGTTTTATATTGTAAGATTAAAATTATCCGTAAGAATTAACGAAAAGATGTAATAATTTCACATAATTTTCTCATGTGATAAATAAGGTCAATTCTAATTCGAGGAAGAGCCTGTCTTTATTGATATAAAAAATTACATACAAATTGAACAAGCAACATTGGCGTAAATGATAATTGTCGAACGATTTATAAGGGTGAAATGAACTTTTATTAAAATTTTCTCCATGAAAACGTAATAGTGTTCATTCCACTGATTTGCTAGAATATGAGCAAAGCTATGATTTGCATAGTTACTCTTTTCAATTGTTGGATTTTGAGTTCTCATAATTTTTCCATAAAACTTTTTGTGTTGGTCAAAGCAATGAATTTTTCTACAGCTTTTTATCATCATCTATATCTTTATCACTTCTATACTACTAAATTGCTTTTCTAGCAGTATCGATCTACAGTCTTCATCAAATGATGTACCGAATTTGGTAACCGCAGAAACAGTATGAATAAAGCCAACGCGCGCTTGAGGTACCCAGTAGCAGTCGCACTCATTGTCATATGTAAGCCACAGACAGTCGCAATTACCTAACCAATTGGCGAACCCAGTGTGGCATGAGATATCAAAGCTTGGTGAATTTCCGGTATTGAAACCTCACCAACGTACAGGAGTAAAGTACCAAATGCAATTCCTAACCGTAAACCACTAAGTAGTCAGGAAATGTAGGATATTGGCAAGTACTAACGTCAAACAGTCGAAAACATTGAGGACCAGTGTCACAATTAGGATGGATTTTTTTACTATCAAAGTAGTGAATAGAGAAATTGTGGATGGATTCGTGAGTCTGGATCAGACAGGTGGGTAAAAGTTAGAAATGACCAATCACTATTACTTTGAGATGAAGTAAAAATATCGTCACTACATTTTCCACATATTAGAGAATGATATTTATATATTATTAATAATATGAAGATAATTGGTATTTCTATTATTATAAAAAATATATGATAAAGGATTTATTATCTTTTATTCTAGCAAACCATTATAAAAAAAAAGGATTAGAATCGTATATGCTAAAATATAATGAAAATGTAATTGACAGGCGCAGCTCACAGTTACATTTATTTAAAAAACAAGAAAGCAGAAACGAACTTAATGCACTTTCCATTACATACAGCTAAACACCCAGAATTTTGCTGCATTATTAGATTTAAAATTACAACTAAATCTACAAATATACAGGACTTATACAATTATAAAAATTTATTTATATACATATACAATGCTTACTGAAGTATTATTAGCTTCGATTTTCCGGTCGATGATTTTATACATACTCTCACTTTACCTCAATATGCAAGTTATTTTTTACATCGAAATATCTCGCAGAATTGCCATAAACTTGAAAGTTTAAACCACTGGATTTGATAAATCAACTCATTGGTATTGCAAACTTAACTTATATTTATTATTTTTCGATGTCGTTTTTATAAAATTGCATTTTTAGCGCTTGTAATCTTCAAAATAAATAAAATATATTAACGTTCGAATAGCGTTTCAACTTTTCGTAGTAAAATACTTATCGATGTTTTTTCGTAAGCTATTTTAGCAAATGACAATATGAACAGGTCACTTGCCTAATACGCGCGTGCCTGGCATTGAAATAGCGTCTAACAAAGTAACTTGGAGCTTTTCTTATTATTTGATCAGCCGAAATTTTTGGTTATATCCGTTCCTCTTGAAAAGGCGGCGTTTAGTTGAATAAAAAAGTTTAATGGAAAATCAGTAGAGGTGATTTTACAATAGGTACATACATCGAAGCAGTAAGTTTATTGTAGTCAACGAATTCCAACGATATCTCTAGTCATGAGACATTTTGATCAATGCAGAACTAAGTTCACAGAGCAACGGAGAACAAGAGAGACAGACCAGCAACCGTACACAATTCCCAAGCGATCTGATTCGTGCAGAGTGTGTGTGTGTGTGCGTGAGAGAGAGAGAGAGAGAGAGAGAAGTTTCGCCGGGTGTGCAATGCGAATAGAGTAGCGCACGCGATACGCGCCGCAATATCGATTTCACTTAGCGTCCTGTCTTTGTTCGTCTCCGACGCTCGTCGGCTCTGCGCGGGGGTGGTGTGCACAAAGAAGCGAGCGAACTTCTCGCTATAGACGCGGCCGCCGCCGCCGTCGTCGTCGTCAGAGAAAAGGGGGAGGGAAGAGAAAGAGAAGATCCACGACTCTCGCGAGTGAATTTACGAGCCCGTAAAGGGAGACGATTGTTCTGGTGGGCCCGCTTTGCGGTTTTGGGAACGACGTTTTTACGACGCTCTTGCCGTCATTAACGAAAAAAACATTATCTGTACGGTAATACCACCTGGCTTATGACACCTTCCCTGACTTACTCTAATTTGCTTTCCCATCTTTGTCCTGGATGATAATTTTCGTCCCGCATTCGTCGCTTTCAAAATTTTACATAAGATTAACCAGGTGTTCATGTTGTCATGAGATTTTGAAGTTGCCTGTATTTTTAATAATGTTATCGAAAATTCTATTCGATGCGATGGTTAAAAAAAGTTGACATATCAGTTTCGTTTTACTCAACTCCGATTACATTTTTCGTTTGATTAATAAACAGAGAAAATTATGATATAATTTTCACGGTTGACTTTGAAATGAAACGACTATTTGGATTTTTCATAAATTAACGAAATACTGTACTTTCTACTGTTAAATTTTCTTATTATATCTATATCGAGGATCGACACATCTGCAGGCATCGCACCCTACCACCATTTTCGAGCCATGTGCCGAGAAGTGCGCGATGCGTCTGCCGACGATTCGAGCAACCCGCACCCGAATGCTTGTTTGGAGAGACAAAGAAACGCAGGCAGTAGCGTGGTGGCGGCGCGGCATCTGCAACGACATTGCGAATGAGTATAAGTCGGTCAGTGGAACCGTCGTCTCCATAGCGACCTGCATTGGGGATTAAATGGCGATGACGAGAAGTGAGTGAGAGTCTTTCGTAGCAGTGGCAGCACACAAAGGAATGCGCTCTCGCGATAATAAATTCAGGAGGCGCGCCGACAGAACAAAGGATACCATCCCTGACTCACTTTTTCGGGGGCTCGATTTGCGCGAGGGAGCGAGATTTACTACGTGACATCGGTTTCTTGTTAACGGTATATCGCTCCAGCGAGACGTTGCTTACCCTGTCTTTTTTCCGATTCGGCTTGTCGAGGCGACGATTGAGTTTAGCGTTAGTTCTGCAAAAAACACACTCGATGAATCGGCTGTTGGCGTTGCTGGTCAAAGGACGGCTGAGCTAAGGGGCGACGTATTTTTATCAATGTAAAAAATTCGATATTCGCAACAGATATACATTTGCACAATTTACTATTGTAAATACCAGAACCTTCATCTTTTGTTCTTATGCGTCTAGAAATTCCAAAGGACAAAAAATAAATCGATGAATTTGTGATTAAATAGCACTATGCAATACCAATGTATCAATGATTATTCTAATATATTGACATGAACAGAGCCTGCGACATTGGTTGCTCATTAGTGGCTTCTAGATGAGAGAGTGCATGGCTGAGTAATTACAAATGGTCACAGAGGTTTAATAGTTATTACTAGTAATTACATTACTGAATTCGTATTGCTATATTGTTTACCATTGCAGAAGTGTAGAAAAATTGCAGATGAAAATATATTTTATCTTTGAATATATTCAAAGAATTCGTTCGTTTCTTCCAAATTCATTAGCATATTTTCACTATCTTACTCGCAATTTCAGTTTTCAATTAAAGACCCACTGGCAGGGTTAGCGCTTTGGAATTTGAAAATGCCTCTGTTGAATTTCAAGGATTATCAAACTTTGAATAGCTGTAGACGTCTTCATTTTTAGGGCGTCACGGTACCTTCGTTTTTGTGCTTCTCTCGACCGAGTAATTAAATCCAGCTTCATCGGCGGGTAATAAAGTATGCGCGGGTTGCTCCTCGTAAATTCAGCGAAACTATCCCCTGTTATATAAGAGAACTTGCGGCAAGTATCTGGCTTCTTTATTCTGAGCTGAAATCGACGCAATCGTGTCTAGATTGTTGTAGAGTTATTCGTCAGTTATTTTCTTCGCTATAGAAAACGATTGCAGTTCAGTTTTTTATTTTTATTTATTCGATTGCATGGATTTCAATGTTACGCCTATAGTTATTATTTTGTCGAAGCTTCTTTTTTATATGACACACTTTAAGTACATGGTCTTGGGGAATTTGCATTTGAAACGTATGAATTAATTATATCTGATCGATAAAGTGATTGAATAAAGAAAGTTTGACGTTCAAGAATTTGTGGTTTTTTTTTAAATTACAAATGGGAAATTAAATCAAGCGATTAAACATCATATCTCAAAAGCAGCACGCGAGAGTGAAAGAGCGATTTCGAATACGTTGTGACCAGTACGCAAACAGAATGAGTGCGCAGGTACTTCGCATAACAAACAATAAACCGAACTCCCTTTTGTGCTTCTTCGCCGAGACTCCCGTACACGCGCGCGCGCGCGGGCGCAAACGCGTGCACATGCCAATAATGGATTCCAACTCGGTAGACGCGTGTGTATAGTCGGCGCTTGGTAATTAGGAGCTGTAATTAATTCTGCGGCCGTCGGGGGCAAGGGTGAAACGGAATACGCGCGAGGGG